TGGGTCATATGGTAAGTCTATTCCTAGTCTTTTGAGGAATCTCCATACTGTTTTCCACAGTGGCTGCACCAACCTGCATTCCCACCAGCAGTGTAGGGGGGTTCCCCTTTCTCCACAGCCTCTCCAGCATGTGTCATTTGTGGATTTTTGAATGATGGCCATTCTGAGTGGCCTGAGGGGCTATCTCATTGTGGCTTTGATTTGCATTTGTCTGATAATTAGCGATACTCAGCATCTTTCCACATGCCCGTTGGCCACCTGGACATCTTCACTGGAGAAATGGCTGTTTTGGTTTTCTGCCCGTCTTTTCATTGAGTTGTATGAGCTGTTTGTACATTCTGGGAATTGAGCCCTTGTCAGCCGCATCGTTTGCCAATACTCCCTCCCAGTCCCCACGTAGGTTGTCTTTCCGTTTTGTTGATGGCTTCCTCTGCTGTGCAAAAGCGTTTGGCTTTGATCACTTCCCATTTGTGTGTTTTTGCTTTTAATCCTATTGCCTTGGGAGCCTGAGCTAGGAAAGCGTTGCTATGATTTGTATCGGAGAATGTTTTGCCTGTGTTTCCGGCTAGGAACTTCATGGTGTCATGTCCTCTGTTTTACGTCTTCAGGCCATTTTGAGTGTGTTTCTGTGTTTGGTGTCAGGAAGTGGTCTGACATCCCAGCATCCAGTGTTCCCAGCGCCACATGCTGAAGGAGCCATCTTTTCTCCCTCGTATAGTCTTGCCTCCTTTGTGGAAGATCACTTGACCGTAGGTGTGTGGGTTCATTTCTGGGCTCTCTCTGTTGTTCAAAAATGCAGTGAAACAGTAAAAGAGCTGAATACGCTTTGGGGAACCCACCCAGGAGCCCAGGGCTGAGGGAAGTCAGCTGAATTCTGTCCGCACAGACGTCCACCTTCCAGCCCCCACGGGGTGGACAGAATCCTGCCCCCGCAGATGTCCAGGTCCTGGCTCCTGCCTGGTGGACAGTAACGGCCCCAAATACGTCTACATCCTAATCACCAAATTTTGTGCATATGTGAACTTACACAGCCAAGGGGACTTCGCAGATGTGGTACAAGTTAAGGACCTTGACGTGGGAAGATGACCGCTGACAAGGGGGTCCAGTGTCATCACCAGGGTCCCAGTAAAAGGCTGTCAGAGGAATATCTGGTTGCAAGGTTCTGCATGGCTGGCCTTGACAGTGGAGTTCGGGGCTGCAAGTCCAGGAGCATAGGGGCCCCCAGAAGCTGGAAAAGGCAGGAAGTCCATTTTCCACGGGAGCCCCCAGGAGAACGCAGCCCTGCGGACACCTTGAGTTTAGAGGTTTCTGTTTAAAACCACAAGACAGCACAGTTTTGTGGTTTGAAGCTGCCAAACCCGCGGTCCTTGTCGGAGCCACCGTGCGTAGGAAAGTCGTGCAGAATCCAACGGTGTTAAGGAGGCAGGTAGCTGCTGCTTTGAGAGAGACAAGGTCGTGTGAAGACTCGATGCATAGGACAGAGGGGAGGAGGTGGCAGCAAGGTCTGTTGTGCAGCGTGTCGATTTCCACGCCTGTCCGACATGCAGCTCCCTGGGAGACAGTAAGCTCTGTAAAGCCAGGGCCCAGTCTATCAGGGTTACCTTCAACGGGTGAGCAGACCTCCTCCCCCTGCCCCACCTGGCTCCCCTAGGGGCCCCGTGAGAGCCGGTGGAGGAAGGTTGCAACGTCCGAGGTCAGGTGAGCACCCAGGCCGCCCCCCGCATGCCCGTGTCGTTGACACCATCCAGGCGTCTGGAACGCGGTGCACGGTGACTTGCATTCTGGGGACGCAGCAGGGACTCTGTCAGCTCCTGTCTCATTTTGGTGGACCCGGGGCCCCTCCGTCCCTCTGATGCAGTGTGCCCACATAGACCGTGTGCTCTTATTTCATTTCAGGAGATGCAGATCACAGAGGTGGCTCCCCTCCCGTCCTGTCAGCTCCTGAGCTGGATGAAGGACACCTGGACAGGTGCAGGCGGCCCGGCCAAGCAGCACTGCATGGCTTTCAGGACGGCGGAGGTGAGTGACGGGCGAGCCCCGGCCCTTGTCTTGCCTCTTTCAGTGGAACTTCTAAACCCTGTGGACTTCCTGCCGCGGGGATGCCACGTGCACCTCTGATGTCCAGGCCCGCGCGGGCGTGGGAGAGGCAGCCCAGGAGAAATGCTTTTGGCCTCAGAGCCGGTCAGCTGTGCTTGTGAACCTCAGACCCCCTCCTCGCCGCCGCCCGCGCGTGTCCTGTGCAAATCATTCACCTCTGCTTTCTCTGCAGGATGGGAGGGCTGGGGGCTCAGTGATGTCCCCATAAAACTTACATGATGAAGTCCTGGCCCCCAGGACCTCGGAAGGGGGCTGTGTTTGCAGATGGGGTCTTTAAGGAGGTGATGGAGGTAAAATGAGGTCACTAGGTCGGTCCTGATCCCAGAGGACTGGGGTCCTTGTAAGAAGAGGAGATGAGGCCCCAGACACACACAGAGGGACGCCCACGTGAGGACACAGGGAGGAGATGGCCATCCACACGCCAAGGGGAGAGGGCTCAGGAGACAACAGCCTTGCTCACATCTGGTCTTGGACTCCCAGCCTCCAGGCCTGGGAGGAATAATGTCTGGTGTTTAAGCCCGCCCGTCTGTGTGACTTTGTCATGGTGGCCTGAGCAGAGTCACACTGAGTCACCAGCAGCATTTTATGTCTGTTTATTACATACATACACTTCTAGATAAACGCCCAGGTACATACACATGCACACAAGGATGTGTGTGTGTATAACATAGATCCCAGGGGGTGAGACTCAGATACGAGACGTGCATCTGAACGTGTTTTGCTAACGGCCAGGTGTGTTTTCATTTAAAATCTGGGAGGACAGAGAGAAATCTTGTGTAGGTTTTGAACTTGGTTAAAAGGAGGGTAGGATGCTGGCTTCTGGATTCTTCTGAAATTAGACTAAAGGTGTGTGTGTCTGTGTCTGTATGAGTCTGCATGCACGCGCATGTGCGGGGCAGGGGGCACGTGGTCAGGTGTAGAGATTGCGGAAAGCCGTTGGTGACGGAGGTGGGAGGTGTGGGGCGGTTGTGCACTCAGAGTTACTTCCAACTTTAGTCACTGTCGCCAGATAGCGAGGTTCCGCCGGGCGCCCCAGGAGACGCGCAGGCCTGCCGCCCCGGGGCCTCTGAGCCAGCCGGGACAGCTCTGTGCTCGCTGATGGAAACAGCAGGTGATTTCTGTCGCGGAATCTCTACAAACTATGTGAAAGCAGTCAGCTACTTAGAAGCAGCCACCTGTCTCCCCGAAGTCACAGAAAAACAGCCGTGACGTAAAAGCCAGCCCCGTCTGCTCCCGGGCGCTCAAGGCAGTGAAACGAAGTGTCATTCTTCTAGTGCCCGTAGTCACAGTCCCCACGTTCTGGCGGGGGGGGGGGGGGGAAGGTCCAGCAGTGACACGGTCTGAGATACTGATTCTTGAATATCCTGTCAGCAGGATCGAGGGACTCGGACGCGGCGAACAGTGAGGCCGTCAGGCAAGACGGACAGCCTTGCGCCAGCTAAGGAGTCAGCAGTGTGCGTATGTAACAAGCCATTCCCGCCTCCCCGCCGGCCTCAGGCGACCTCCCACGCGGTGTCACGGATCCCGGGGATGTGAAATCACCCCAGATCTCACCAGTGCAGCGGCGTGTCACGGTTCGGTGACATCGTCTGGCTGCAGTGCGGACAGGACGCCTGTGTCTTTCTGGCGTGAATACGGAGCACGGGGGAGCCCAGCTCTTCCAACATGTGGTACCTCTTCCCCCAGATGCTCCTTCCTGGTCAACCTGGACAGTAGGAAATATTGATCCGGATGATAGGGCAGGGATGACCCCAACAAATAGGGGAACAAAAATGGCTGGTTCTGCCGGTCCAGCCAACTTGGGGATGGTGGATTTGCGATCAGAGTCCGAATTTTAGTGCAGGGGAAGATCCGGGGCTCGCAGGAGCCCCAGCGCCCAGGGCTGTGTGTTGGGCAAGCTGATCAGAACTGGTTCCGGACCCAGAGCAAGTCGGGGAGGACGGCAGGTCAGCAGGGTCGTGCCCGTGGGAGGTGAGATCTTCCCAGCCGCTGCTTCGTTCCGTCCCTGGGGCCATATCGGGATTGTTCCAGGACATGGGGTCCCCGGATCTTTCAGAGGGGACTTAGATTGCCAGCCTCTCCCTGGGCACCCGGGAGGTGGGGAAGTTGGTGCTGATAATCACCCCCTCTGTTTCTTCTTTCCCTGAAGGATGGACGTCCCCCCCTCCAGCTCTGGTAAGCACCATGGGGGCGGCACAGGGCCGTCCGTAAAGGGCTTCCAGAGGCATGGAAGTCCATGTGGGCAGGGCCCCCGGGATGGAGACGGCGAGGAAGTGGACCCTAAGACGGATTCGTACTTGAGTTGACGCTGGGACAGCGTCCAGCGTCTCCTCTCAAAGGTGAGCTTCGCAGAGCAGGCGTGTTACCCATCGGATTCACTGTGACATGACCA